GCAAGTGAAGCATTAATCGAAAAAAGGAAAAAAGGGCTGCAAGAACATGGAATAAGACCCTATTCGATTTAAGGCATCTGGACGAGTTTCGCAGATTTTGGGTGAGTTCTCCAAAACACGTCGCCGCCTCGTTGCGGCTAATTCTCATGAGGCCACTACCTAGGTTATCTTATCTAATCTAATTAATCCTCGCTGGCATTGATAATCGATCTGTCTATGAGTTAATCTCTCTATCAGTGTACGAAACGAACGCTAGAAATTTAGCGATTATGCCAGCAAGGATTGACAACTGTTAACCAGTCGGGGCGGGAGGTCAGCTTATCATTGTTGACTCCGCCTTCGTCTATCAATCGATTTCGAGTCGCAGGAGTGGGATATCCTGTGGTTGCGGACTCCGCGATCTTGTACAGTACAGGGTTTCTTCACCTTGGTTGATCGCGGACGCTGCCTTTAAGACAGCTGTCATTTTGTTAGACAAAGTCATGATTACAACTGCCCCAAAATGAAGATATCTCACGGAAAGCTCAGCCACGTTCAATTCGAGAACGCAGCCACGCCTACCTCATCTCAGGGATTTTGAGGGTACTGATGCTCGTCAAATCTCAGCGTCTCGTTTTTGTCATCTTTAAAAAAGGTGGCCCGCGAAACTTGACTATTCGCATTTGAGATAAGTTTTAATGCGTCCTTTCCTTTAACACCACAACATTTCCATCGAGAAAACTAAAATCCCTCCCTGTATGTCTGCACTCTCTTTGGAGAAGAGAGCCTTTTCTTGCAAGTTATTCACTCTCAAATAATCCAGGTTTTTGCATGTTTTTTTATCACTGAAAATTTCTCTTCGGGTTTGGTATTGATGAGTGAAACACTAATAAAATATCACCATAGGTAATTGACACCTCTTTTCAGATGTGAAGATCCCCACTGCCCTGCCGTTAAAGGTGTAGAACAAATGCTAACTCCAGATGCATTCGCTAGACAGCCAGTCAGGTACGTAGTTCATTCATTTCAATTTGATGTACCCTTTCAATCTCTAAGGCTGGGATGCGGAGTTGGTGCATTAGCTAGAAGCACCACTACTTCGGACACGTACAGTTCAAGACTTTCTGCCAAATTCTCCCTAGGGTTAAACTGGTGTTTTATCCCGCATTTCGGTCAACGAATCGGCCTTTCCCATCTGCTTGGGATTCCTTGCCAACAACGCACTCTCGTCTTTTTTCATGCCCCTGATCTTAACTGTCCTGGCGAGACTTTTGAGTCGGAGGCCTTTCGTTACCACAGGACGAAATACCTAACTGTTAATCACACTTCTTTGAAAGAGCTGACGTGTCCGCTTACACGACTCGAAACCGCTTGATAAGAATGCCACAGCTTTGCCGCAGTTTGTAGTCTCCGCCCTTTGTTTGTGATCTCCTCCTTTGACGTTTCGTTTCGGCAGAGGGGTCTCCAATGATCGACACCCGCGGCTATTCAGAGCGACTTTTACGGCGTTTTTCTTATCTTCGTTATCAGACTTACTTGGGCTTCTTTGACATGCTATCTGGAAATCATCACTCGTGTGGTAATCATAGGCAAACCTTTGCCCTTGAACATAGCCCTTGGACAAAACATAGCTGGACCAAAGACAACAAATCATAAAGACCAAAGAATACTGTTTCTGGACAAACTAGTTCCTGTACAAACCATGAAGCGTTGGAGTTTAGATAGAATTTAGTCTTGAGCATATGTAGCGCATTTACACCCTGCAACTAATCATCTAGAATTCTACCGAAGCCTTCATTTCACTAGCAAGAGTTTCTTATGATGTGATCAAACAGTTGTAGCTACCAAGAAATGTTTCGCATGCGTAACCGGGAGTATGGTACTTCACCGGCAAACAGCCCGGCTGGTTCGTTGGAGGACGCTCCTTCACCTTCTCTAACATGAAGCGACGCCAGATGGCGCAAGGGCCAACAGCACATGGTGAGTACAGCATCAATCGTTTTGCATACAGTACTTCTACTTATGACCAACGCAGTTACGGTGTATACGTCCATTCATGCACGGAGGAACAAACCAACACCACCTTTACAGGGGGGGGGGGGCAAAAAAAGTCCACTTCGGCCAAGTCACATATCAGCGAAGTTTTCGCAGCCCAGACAAGGAAGTGGATACGAGTACCAGGGCGGAAGATACCCAAGATGTTCCTCGATAAAAGGCAGGCCTGCAGCCGCCCATCACCTTCATGTACACCCAAAATATGAAGTCATCTCCAATCGCAGCCTGATTGGAAAAGGGCTCTGGAATTCCAAAACTCCGAATAGCTGCGAACTTTCTTGAATGGAGTCACCCATGAGCTACCTGGAGACCAGTACTCTCGATCTGGAAGACCTCCAACATCGAGCAGCTCCGACAACGTCGCTACGGTCTAGGACATCATCTTCACCACAGTCGCCAAGCGCTAGTTGGTTGTATGAACGGAAGTTCCTGGAATGTGAAGACCGATATTTTCTTCCGTGGATCCCGGACTGAAGGTGAGCGCTGACGGTTACATCGACCAGCTCGTGAGAATATCCTGCTTTCATGTCATTGCCTGCACCTATCTTTGCGAGACTTGAGTACTGCGCGCTACAGGATTGGACGTGGCCTTCCATACGGATCGAAGGCGTTGCGCCAAAGCTTCCGCGCTACTTGGGAATGGAAGGATGCTTGAATCACCTGACAGAGAACGCCGAATATCAAGTCGTGACACCCGACCTGATCGCCCAATTACGCGCGTTCGGGCCAGAGCTCAACAAGGTGGTCTACAGTGCGGTGGAAATCAACGCTCCGCTTGAACACAACGGAATCACGTCGGCGTACACAATCTCTCGATAGCGTTCGTCAGAAGGCTGTGGCGGAGCATCCTTGTTGTAGACAACCCAGATCTCTTGAATATGGTGGTGGAAATGTCCTTACAGAATTTAATTAAGAGTAACTTATAGCGCCTTGAAAGTCAAGAAAGAAAAGTGACTTTTTTTGCCCTCCCCCCTGGTAAATTTCGCCTTACCACCTATTCTGTTGAGCGCTCTTTTACGAGTGGGGCCCCATAAGACTCTAGTGACTCCGACAACGCGCCAACACAGGGCCTCGGTCTCTAAGAGGTCCGCATCGAACATGACGGTAATATGTCCACTACGTGGGCATTTAGCGTAAAAAGCATGCCGGAAGGGAGACCACGGTCCTATGTTAGCACCTTGCCGAGTCGCTAAATAACTATCGTGTCCCACTCGTACGACAGCGCGGACAAGAATGCATAAGTAACGGGTTGTACTACTGGCGTGTAGGTCCGGCGTATGGCAACTGGACTTGCCCAAACTCGATAGAATGCGCGAATAGTCCTCCTCAGCTGCATAGCCTTACACTATGCCTTCAGGAAGTATTCTTGCAGTAGGTCACCGCTTCGTGCTGTTTTCCAAATATCGCTAGTCCATTTCAGCACGGCCTCGGGTTATGGGCAGGGCACGGCTCTCACTATAATGAGCCGTCAGACAAGCTCGGTACATGATCACATGTGCCTGATGCTGAATACGCCAAAGGCACTAATCCGTGCTCAGTCCGACGAGCATCTTCGATCGCCCATAGCTGAAGGGAACAGAAAGGTGGGTACCGTGATTCTTTTTTCCACAGTTCTGTAAAAAGTAAAGTCTCTGTTAAAAATTATCGTCTCTTTTACCTACTTTCTTTAAAAACAGTTCCGTATTCGCTCATTTGCTCGCTAACTTCACTATAGTTCCACAAGGATCTTTCACCGTTAGTTAACTGGGAAGAATTTCAACAAGGTAGACTGGATCGAAAGTGTCGAAAATGCACAGGCTGATCCAAGATGATGATTCATTTTATATAAATTTTACATCTTTTCTTTGCTTCTCAAATCTGGGTCTGCCAGGAATCAGGAACGTTTCCTAGTTGGAGTGAACGCGCTGGAAGTAGTCTGTCCACTCGCTTGTGTCTGTGCTCCATTGTCCCTTCTTCATCTAGAACCTCTTCAGGACGTCCGTCCACCACTCACGTCCCGTCGACTTGGATGGGGCATTTTGCACTTCCGCCAGTTCCTTCCCCTTTTATGTAAACTTACAGGCTAATTAATTATCCCGACATTGTAAATTACTTTTGAAGCAGCGAAACGCGTTTGCGAAAATGAAAGCACTTCGGTTGCAAAAATTCACAGTTCACCGTATCGTTTAGTGGCCCTCTCAAGCCAAACTGCGCCTGTCCATGAAAAATCGGTACAGTAATGCGTTTTTCCGCTGGAATCTCCAATCTATCTTGTGCATGCTACCGAAAACCCCTACTATTACTTCTTGCCATAACACGCTTCAGTATTTTTCCAATTTTCTTTTCTCTGACTCACTTGCTTCTTCACTGATGAATGTGCGACGTATTTTGGCTAATTAGCACGTCAAATATGTTTATGTCACGTCAAAAATTCATTGGTTTTCCTTTACAGGCTCCTCTATCGGCACGGGTATCATCAAATGAACAAGATGCCGCTGAACTGGCACGATGCCAACAAAACCTTGAAAGAGCATATCCAAGAAAAAAAAGGGCATTAGAGATGTTAGTACACACAACTGAGAAAACAGCTATCGCATGGTAAGTTCCCCACATTTTTTTGTTTTCAAAAGGCAGCAGGGAGAGTTCTCAGTCACCAGAGTCACCAACAAATCTCTTTCCAAGTTTATCCCTCGAAGAAAAAAAAGGCGCATTATTGGAGGATTTTCTCATGACTGGGAGTCTTATTTTGGTCGCCAAGAAAATCGTTGTAGCCCGTAGCCCATGTTGATAAGAACTGGTGGGAGTTCTGCCTCCCCGAAAATTTGAGAGATTTAGAGGAACTCAGAGATTTTTGACAAATTCCCGTTTCTGGTTGTATTGATATTCACCCGCAGTTTACAGTTCGATTATCCATTCTCCAGCTTGGCTAACGCGAGCTGTCGCGGACCACCTCATAGAGCTTGACATCCCTACCCCCTCCGACATCGTTAGGTACATTCATGTAAGAGCAAATAGTTCAGTGGTTGATTTTGATTCTGTTGGCACCCGCGCTGTGAAGTTTCGGTACTGGGAATTGACTTTCCCCTTCTGACGCCTTTTATCACATCAGCTGGTTTCAATTCCTGTCACGCACCCCAATAGTGTTCACGTCACGCCCCTATATTGCTTCTTGGAATAAGTCTCACTGCTACTGGAACAGGCGCTATGAATTTTCGGGCGCTGTTTGTCGACGGGGGGGCTTTTGCAGTTTAACGACTTCCCATCGACAGACTCCCACGTCTCGAACCCATTAGACAGCGTCGTCCTCGAGTGACAGGTTACCATTGATGCGCTTGACGAGCTTGCCTCCAGCTATCACACAAGAGTTTTCACCAGCGTGAGACTTGAAAATTAGAACTTGTGAAACAATGAAAGTGCAAAATGCCCCCCTCGTCGGCATACTGCGCGAATTTCGGTGACGAACTAACGGACCCACACACACACACACACACACGTACACGTACAGACATACTGAGCGAATTATATACAGTAGACTTTTTCTCCACTCTGCAAAACTGTTCACCTACACACGTGTGATGGACGGACTGAAGTTGGGAGGGGACTAACCGATAAAGGAGAGAGGGATATTGAAAACGCTCCCCCTATTGCGATGATGTGTCCGAAAATGTGATGAATTCAGTCCACAGTCAGTACGACTAATACTCTGGTTCGCTACGGATGAAGGGGCGTGTCGGGCAGTATGAGTGTGCCACAGCTCCAAACCCGTTCTTTGCCATTTGTTTAAAGGCAGTTGGCACTGAATCCCAAGACGAGTAGGATTAATATGCCTGATGGATTCCGCGACACTGAGCAATTATGCCTTTTCCAGGAGAGTTGCCCTTATAAGGGCACTATCAAAAACCAAAAGCATACCGATCCGGACGCCCACCGCTACCGCCCTCAGATGGACGACCTTTCCTGATGCTCGTATTGCTTTATTTGCGAAGGAAAATGTGAAGCGAAGGGGTTGGTATGAAATTTCTGTGGTGGTGCATGAATATATGACATGTATATGAATAAATGCGGCAGCGGGCCTCGTAGCGGTTATTGGCAAGATGCCTACGGGAAACTCGTCCGAAATCGCTTTTTGAGTCATGAACTAAGACTTTTTTTCGCAGGTTCTTGGCCGTTTCAGTTCCGATTTTCGCCATTTTCCCACTATAACACGACTACTAGCAGTTTCAAGGCAGCGGAGTACCAAATTATCGGCAACTGCCTTTAAGCCTGTATACGACAGCGTTTGGTAGAACGAGCGATACGAACGATATGACACGTCTTGTCCTTCGCTCGCTTCAATAACTGGTGGAGGACGGGTCTGACACCGGCCAAACGCATCCCGCTTGACACGCCCCTTCGACCGCGCGAAGACCGTAATCATGTTAGTTGGGATCACTGTTGTTTGGTGAAATCTCGCGTGACAGGGCCAAACCTCTTGAAACCCTTGAAAAATCGCGTTCAATCAGGTCACAGGTGAGAAACATTGGGCAAGGCCAAAATCGCAGAGAAAGCTCCCAGAAGGACTTATAGGAATGACGAAATGGCAGGCTTATGCGGACTGAGGCGTGGCCAGCAAATTTAATGCCAAGCGCGACACTCTTAACCGACCACGCCTCCGACTGCCCAGCCTTAGCTTCGCACCCCTACACGTGATCTCTGCCTAATCCAGCTTGCCTATTAACGGTCAAATCAGCTTTCAACTCTCTTCATTGGGAATTATTAATGTTGTGCTCCTCTAAAGAAAGTTCAACTATTCTAGGAGCGTCAATCTCATGAGAATACCCGACGAGAATTGGAACGGCTCAGGATACAATTGGATAAAAGATGACTCTTATGATTACGGAAATAAAATATGCAATATTTATATGTTCATGATCGTGATAAATCCATTAAAATGAATTCAATCGTCGAAAATATTTTATTGTACAACAATTAGGTAGAATTAACAAACAACCGGAGAGATTCCTGCGGTCGATGGCACAGCAGCAAATGGGCTTTCATTGGACTGCTGCTGAAAACAAGACACTAAACGTTCAGTTTTGAACCTAGGCGTTTGAGGATGTAGTGGGATTTTCTACCTCTCATGAGCGCCATGAGCTCTGGAATATACTGCTTCTTAACCCAAAAAAGTAAGGTTACAGCTGTTATTATAGCTCCTGAGAAATGTCATTCACTTAGCTTCTATGTACTGGGTATTTCAGAGGAATCGGACATAGGATACTTGGCCGACCGGCTGATGAAAGGGATCAGTTGGTATTCATCCTTCGGCTTGGGAGGGGGGAGACATTTTACACTTTCGCTCGCTTCTTTTAGTTCTGCTAACTTACATGTCTCACTTACATTAGACCTGTCAAACCTGTAAAGTATAAAGAAAGCTCGTGCAATTTGTATAGCTTCGCAAGAGTTTACAGGTCTCCAGGGAGGCATCGGTACCACTACCAAACCTTCAGGACCTTTAATTTTTGTGTCCATCGGCAAAGGTAAGAAGTGAAGTTCGAAGCAGTGAGGGATACGGTATGACTGATGTGATTGGCCTAGACACAACAACATGGCTGCAAGGTTGCGCTTATCGCCACTGCGCCACATACCTGAGCGTGTCACTGAGAAGAAAGGCAACCCGAACTCTTTGCTGAGCGACTGCAGCGACACTGGACACCATCATCACTCCCATATACCAAGTAGTACAGAGGCAAGGCCTTCCCCGGATGGAATGACCATTCATGATCACGAGTGTATCGCTGAATGCACCATAGGGCGCTAATCGCGAATTTGTTCTCCAAGGCTACTGAGCCACCTTCTAAGCGAAGTTAAGAACAACTTTAGCCCGCGATTCTTCGAATGTCATTGTAGAAAACACTTAAGCAGTCGGGGGAGAAAGTGTGGTTTGTGGTGAAAGGGCGAATCCCTTAATGATGCATATTCGCGGCAAGAAGACATCGGAGCCGACAAAGGGTGAATCATTGTTGAGATGAGTTGCCCCAGCACCGAAAGTTTAGCTTCCACAGTCTATCTTTTTTTTCTTCAACACACATTCTACCTCCATTCAGGATCGTAACGGCTTTTGACTGCGATACGGCGTACACAATGATTGGTGAGCGCAAACTTCAGCTGTGATTGTACGCAGATAGGAAGGAGTAAGAGAGGAAATGCTTTGTTGGCCATACCACATGTATTGAGGAAACGGAAATGGTTTAGCCATGAACATCTTGCTACTATGGGACGTGGTAGTCTCAGAAGAATATCCGCTGGGAGGCCCAAGGTTGAGGAGCGTAATGACATAGATTCCCAAA